CAATTATGCACACATGTATTTGGCTCTTTCCTTCTGTTGCTTCCATCCTGAAATAGCAAAACCATATACAACCTCGCTTAATTAAAAATGTTTGAACTTCATACAGAAGAGCAACTTGAAATTACAAAGCATCATTTTAGTTTTGAGTTTCAGACTGACTCGTCAAGAGTCTTGCGCTTGTCAATGGGAGGAGATACCGACGCCAAGTGTTTGCGATCGAGATCCACCGCTCCTGGAAGGTCCTCCGTCACAAGAAAAACTCATTCAGGTAAAATTTGGATGCCATTTATGATTTTAATCTGAATGCTCTTATTCTAATTTTAAAAAGTTGAATTTCTTGTAAAGACGTCGTAACAAATCATTTATTTACTGAGAGAACACTTTGCACACTTTGTCGAACGGATTGAACTTGTTTTTTATTTCAAAAGAGGTAGAGCACAAGTATTAACACATTACTTTGTGCAAAGCATTCTCCAGAAATATTCTGAACTTTAAAATCAAAAAGGCAGATAGAAATTGAGATGAGCCATATTTATCAGAAAGGGGTGGAGAATAGGCGGAGTCATAATTCTGACGTCATCTCCGGGAACAGAAGGGTGGAAACGAGGAAGGGAAGTAAAAGAAGATTAGAGGGTGGTACCCTATTCAGCTGAGCTTTTTCTCTCCTTGTCGCCTGTTTTTGGTTGTGCGTGGTTGTACTGCTTATATAACTTCTTCTCAATCACATTCTTTTGAATGACAATCTCCTATGTTTAATATGTCTTAGCGAATTATTTGCCTACATAAAAGAGCTCCCACGATCATCAACCATTATTTTACGAATGCTCAAGCTTTGTTTGCACAGGAGTATTTATTTATTCTATTCCATTACATTGCACTAACTTGAAAACATCTAATTTAACACCTTTTGACTATAAATGTGAAAACTTTGTGTTTTGCAGATAATCAACTGCTTTCCATTCCCAACGCCACGTGGAACACCACAGTCGAGCCCAAAAATGGTGTGTAAGCATACTGCAGTGGTAGGGGACGTGGAACAGCAAACCTTCGGTGATGCTTTCGAGAAACTTGTACAGGTAAATCTATGCTTCAATATTCAAGTTGGAGCGACTTTTGGCTGAAGACATCAATGTGCCTTTGGCGAAGCATATTGCTGAAGGGAAGCGCAGCAATTCACAGATAGGAGCATTGCTTGGAAAGTGTACGCGGCATTTAGGGCGCGATAATCATGCTCAGAATAAGTAAGGTGCAGTCTGTATCAGTGGTGCCAAATATCGCTTAAAATCTCCACTACCTGTATCAAAATCTTATTATTGTCTCAACGTCGGCAATCAGATGTTCTCCCAGCACCATATGTCTCTTGTGCTTACTCTCATTCGTACGCAGGTCATAGCGTGCTTTTTACATATCATTCATTCTCTGACCAAGAGACACGAGCACGTTTTGCGTACCTCTAATTAACAAATTTATGAACGCTTCAACCATTTCGTTAAGTTACTTAGGAACTCGCTGAAGAACATGTTCGAACTATATTGTTTAACAACCTCAAACGTTTTTTCTTAAGAACC